ATTTAATTACTTAATCTACATAATGGTTTTTCCAACACTTTGTGATACTAAAAAGTCTAGTCTAACCGCAACATTAGAATTGGTTAAATATCAATATTTAATCACTTATCAAGAAAGACTAGTCCTTCAATAGGATTTCACATCCTAGAAGTGAAAGAAGCTTAATATTTGATTATCTTCATCAGTTATGAAAATACACCATCCTGAATCCTGTCTTTAACTTCCTCGGAAAAATTTTATCTAAGATTTAGTCCTACAAAAACTGACCACATTTCAGTTTTGGAAACTAGATAGAAATGCAAATACAGAGCATGTGGATTAATGACACATACAACTACTTAATGCTGATCTGATCAGGCACAATACCAAAACAACAGGTTTTACACTTGGTACGTAAAGGAACTATGTCTGAACCTGCAATGAAATGACAAATTAACCATTCACAGGGACTGGAAAGATGAGACAGTTACCCAGAGTAAGATTTGCACTCAGTGTCAGGTCAAAACCTTCCAACTCTCTTACCTTTTGGTGGAAAATAGGACTTGCTCTCTGCTTTGTGAGGCCAGTCAACTACCAAAGGCCCAAATCGTCTGAAGCTAGCAGTAATTTCATCTAAAAACAGGTACAATAGTTGCAATTAAAATAAATTACATAACCTAATGAAAAAGCACTATCAAGCAAAGTCCTTTGTTTCTAGCAAAGGTTGACATTCCAAGGAAAAGAAAGAACAAAATGTACAACTTTCATGAACAAAAAACTTAAACACATCTTCCAAAGAGTTAATATTCACACAGTGTATCTCTGGTGATTTTAAGCTCACATTTGTTTTTTTATTACTTAATAACAGCAGCACTTCAGAATCATATGAGCAACTGAAGGCAGTGGTGAAAACTTGTGTGGTACTTCCCAAAATTCAGAATCTGGTTTGAATACAATCAAATCAATTAATTGTTTAGTGATTTAGTACAGTCAGAGCTTTGTAATTAGGTATTCACATATCAAGTACTACCAAAATTAATGCATTAGCAGTTTCCAGACTATGCATGTATCAGACACAGAAATTTAAAACTGTCTATTTAAAGGTGCTTCTAACATAAACATGAACAGTCCTGTTATGAGACCTACTATGACCCCTGCACAACTTTGTGATGTCTTTCTATCCTTCCTGTTATTGCCTGGAAGACCCTTGGCCATGAGGAAAAAATACCTTAAACTATACACAAAAGCAGTAACTCAAAACCAAACATGCTCCATCATTTCTCTGAGTCATATCTACCATCAGCATATAAACAGGCAGGAAAGAAAGAAAATGTATTTCCACGTGTTTTTATTTAGCATTTGTATTAAAGGCAACTGTGCTGAAGTGTATTAAAATAAACCCCTTAGTACATTGTAGCAGTGCATTTCAATAGTGATGGAAACAAAACATGATCCTTCCATGTCTGAAAGTTAATTAAACACAGTCAGCTTATTCGGTTTGCAAGTTACTCTAGGATTACAATGAACCTTGTAAAGGGATTTCTGTTTACATTACAAAGCTAGCATGCAATTTACATTTACCCACACAGGAGAACCCGAATGTTAAACTGTATGATTTCCTCAAATCAGCACTATGATACAAAGCAATTCCAACTGCACTGCTGAACAGTCTGAGCTTCTGTGGTAACACCCTTGTGCTCAAAGCATCACAGAGCTCTGCCACTCGACCTTCCTCTGCCTTAGTTTCTCTGTTTCTGAACAGGAATAATGTTAACCTTTCTATACCACTGTTGAGATCTTCAGGTAGTAGTAAAATAGAATATGAAATTCATTTACAAATGGAAACTTTCTATGAATACAGAATAAAGTAGGCATAGAGGATGGCTAAAATGTATTTGAAAGGAGTATGCAAGATAAGCAGGAGCACAAATTCCATGCATCGCATGGAACTCTAAAATCTGAAAGTGCAGAAACAGAAACAACTGAACCATCTCGAAGCCAGAAGAGATGATACTAAGCTCAACACACCCATTAACTCTCAAAGAACATACAGCTGCAGCCTTTCACACTGTAACATCATTTTGCTGAATGGATTATTTCTACTACTGAATTCGGGTTTTTCCAGATCTCTCTTTGTCTCTCCCTCCAAACTTAGTCTGCTCAGTTTTCAGGTAGCTCACCTTCATCGATATCTGGTGGAAGACCTCCAACAAACACTTTCCGAGAAAAACGCTCAATTCGTTCTCCATTCTGATGAGCTGAATAGCAGGTAGGTGAATTCAAGACTCCAACTTGATCACTGTGACCATCGTCCAGCAAACCATCATCTATTGGGAAGAGGGAAGAACGGCCTTAAAAAGAAAACAAAATAATATACATTAACATAATGTTGTGGCAGTACATGGTTATGTAATTTTAGGGAACGGGGAAATAGCAGTCTGGAAAGTCAAAATGAAAATACCAAGATATTAGTTTAAAGAAAAATAAGGAAAAAAAAGAAAAATGTATTAAACTTCAAAAAGGAATTTCAAGATTGCAAGCTGACATCACTCTAAGTGTAATACTTCATACTACATTATACTGGAGTTACTCTGCTGCATCCAGTAGGAAAGTGGTAATTTAGTTTTAAATAAAGGGTCTTATGCAGATAAAAATACTACTGGCTGCTTAAGTGAGTTTCATTAGTCTGCCTTTGGTTTAGCTTCAAGTTAGTGGTAATTTCCTCCACCTGAATGACTACTGCATGTCTAAAAATCTTACATTTTAATCGAACAAGGGAAAACAAAAATCATGGTCACAGTAACAAGTTTCAAACAGGTATGTCTTCTCTTCTAAAGGTATCTGATGCTGGTAACATAAGGACAGATTTAATTTCTAAGAAATTAAAATAATTTTAATACACGGGCAAAGTGTAACACTTGAAAAATGAGTCACAGTGCTGATTTATGCTCCTCACTCTCAATTTACCACAGTTTTGGAAGGAAGCCTGGTGGTGGTTCCTAACATGTAGTAATCTGCAGTGAAATTACAGTTACCCTGAAAAGGAAGTGTAAAATCTGAGAAGTTCACAGGATGGCTTTGCAAATGCAATCTGATCAAAACAGACATATAGAGGGGAGAGGGAAGTAAAAACGTGGTAATTCTGGCCCACATATTTCCTATTTAATTTTTACAAATTTTAAAGAACCACAAACAAACAAAAAATTTGGAAGGCCAGGATATTAATATTAGCTTACTCAGTCTTTCATTGCTTTAGATCAGCAACATAAAGATTACTGACAGTTTCAAATTCAGAAGTCAGTCTGTTAACTTAAAAAGAAAACAGAAAAGAAACAATTGCATGAAGCACAAGAGATAGCCCACATCACTATTTCTTCTAAAATGCAATTTTTCATGTTCTCACTCATTTAAAAAATAATTATTAATAATTCAACTGCTTTCCAAAAAGCAGCAAGAAAACCAAACCAAAAACCAACCTAGCACACTTTTGGGAAGCAAGTTAGTTTTCCGTTTCAGATAGCCAACTTATTCCAGACTCACTCACTGGCAAGTCTATAGGCAGGACCAAAAGGTCCCTGACAGCTAGGTCTGCAGCACCTTAGCTGTAAGCAATTCTGAAGTCTCTTAATTCTTCTCCCTACTCAGGGGAACAGTATCAAGAAAGCCTGGTAGGAAAACCTATAGACCCAAAGCCGACCAGCTAAGGGTGAGAGCATTATAGAAGCCCTTCACTTCCAAAAGATCACCTGAGAAACAGGTGCTTAAGGACAAGGCTGGAGAACAGACAGCAATCACTATGACCAAGAACCTACGTTATGGTGATGCCTGCTGCTCCTGATGACGTGTTTCATCAAAATACTGAATGAAAACACAGGACAATGTAAAACAACAAACCAACATAAAATGTCATGAGGAGCACAAAAAATCAGGACCACAGGACCGTATCAAATAACAAAGGCTGTTAACTACATCATTCTTATGATGGCGTATCTGTATCTTCAGCAGGCTTATGACGGAGATGAGTACAGCTAATGCAGAAGGATGTAGCAGGATTCTTCCCTTCTCATTAAGACTGGGGATAGGATGTTTGGGAATAACTAGTGGGGTGCAAATGATAGCATCCTTGATGGTGCTCAACGGGGCAGGAAAGTGAGGAAGCAAGGGAGAAGCAAAGCTAACATAACTGGAAGAAGCAACCAGGCAGATTCTTCTTGTAAATCAACCATTTAGGCATAAGAGGAATAAGGTCATGCTATGAAGACTGTTCCAGCTGAGTAACGTGGATATGAATTTCAGTTATAAAGACCAGTAAGAATGATCAGATCTTAAAGATGTATATGAATAAGTTGTAAGATCTGACTGCACAACCAAGAAACGGAGATACAACAACAAACTTCTGCATTGCTAATGTGAATGACTGAGAAGATAGAGCTGTTTTCATAATGACAGGAAGAAGTGGATAATGGAGGAAATAAGACTCATATTGCAAGAACCTGAAGGAAACTGCAAAGTCTTAGGACTTTTCACTAATATATGGGAGTTAACATCTTAAATCTAAAGTGACTATAATTTAGCTTTGTTTATAAGAAGTACTTCTTTGACAATTCCAACTTGCAATACAGACAAGTATATGGGGGAAAAGCGGTCAAAGAATACTACTCAGAATAATTTATTTTTTTACTCACAGACCTATATTAGAATCTAAAAACAATGACAATTATTCTTTACAAATAAAACTATGAGAACACATTCTGAAGTGATACCAGACAGCTCAATTTTCTTTAATGTGGGGAAAGGTTTACTAAAAGCACTCTAGCTCCTCAGAAACCTGAGATTACATGGAGGACAACAGATCAACTTTTTTAGAGTAATGTGGTCTATATGACCCCTAATACTTTCTTCTCCTTCCTCTTCACTTTTAAATGAAGTCTCTTAGACAAAGAAAGCACAAAGGAAATTTGCTTTCACATTTCAATAGGCTTTCACATTTTTCCTGATTACTGTGAATAAAAATTATAAACTCTTTTAAACGTTTGTTTCTTTTTATGATGGCGAAAAAGTAAGCAGATTCTGCCAGGAATTGTCAAAACAAATGTACTGTTACATCCTTTGGCCATGATCTACAAGATCATTCCTCTCTACATTATGGCTACCAAGCAATCAGTTATGAATCAATGCAGAGATTCAAGCAGACACATGAACTGATGTGTATGTGGGGAATACTGGAAGTTACCAAAGATCTAATTTTTTTCCTGCATGTTTTACATGGTGTTTATAACAACTGCAGGTTACATCTTGGTATAGTAAAAACAGTACAGCTTTTCCAAGGCCAGTGAACATGTATTGGCTTACACTATGAAGATCTGTTTGCTATTTCTAAGAGCAGTCTACTAGATTTCTTGCTAAATTCATGAAAGGCTTTTAGTTTTTACTCTGCACACTACTGCTTCTATAGAAGAAAAAGGAGATGACTTAGAAGGACAACTAGTAAACTGTGTACTTTTAAAGAGGACAATGACTGCAAGCAGTAGCAATTAGTATGAACTAAATTATTATTAGAATTACAGTTTTTAACTGATTAAAGAATTTGTAATTCAAACTCTAAGAGAACAATGATCATAACAATCCAGACTGCACTCCTTCCTCCCTCATACCCTCCACCTTCCCCAAACTAAGACAACACGAAGATAAACATTTAAAATCAACAATCTGGATTAATTAATCATAATGATCAGTAACAGATCAGAATTAATTGTACTGTAACAAACAGAAGTGAATTACCTCGTCTTCGCCCATAACTCCTCGCTGCATGCAAACAAAGGACAAATTGTAAAATGTCAAGTAACTGTATCATGCCCACTTACTAAAATATTTAAGATACAAAGAACTATGTGGGTAACCAGTAAGCAAAAATCTGCATTGGTACTTGGTACTAATAATTGTAGATGAGAACGCATTAAAATGAAGTCTCACTTAAATACCATACCATTTTACTACTAAATTTATGTTAGTACCAACTGTAAAGAACACTCAAGTATTTCAACCTGTCTTTAAACTTGATCTTAACTTCATGTTAATTATGGATGAATAATTAATGAGAACTTTGCAATTCATCCTCAAAGTGATTTGTATCTTACATAAGTGACCTAAATAACACACAGAGTACTGAAATTGTAGAAAGGAAAATATTACTTTAAAAAGCATGTAACAAGTGTTAAATTAATCACAGAAACACCCTGGTCCATGGAACAGTTTGTACAGTCCTTTGCAGTGACAATGCAAATGCTGAAAAGCCATGACCTTCCTTTTTCATGAAAAGACCTAGCAGAAAATTAACCGCAAGGTTTTGTTTGAAACAAAAGACGCCTTGTGGTAGAAAATGAAATCAGGGCACAAGTCACAAGAAATAGCATTGTATCAAAAACACTGTACAAAGGCAAAGCAACAATTTCTGACAGACTGCAAGTAAATCCAAGATTTTCTTAACTTTTGAGTTTTGCAAGATTCTTAAAGAGATCATACTTATAGCTACAGTTCAGAAGACCATACTGACTGCTTCTCTGCCTGAAGGCTAGGAAACTAAAAATAGACAGATTACTAATACAGAAACTATTAAGCTGTGTATAACTTCTTAGTTAGATTTCCACAAAGTATTTTCTATTCCTGTTTCACAGCCTTAGTATCTGAGAAAAATTACTTTAATCATTACGCATTGTAGTTAAGTATCCAAATGGATAATGCTACTATAAACCACAATGTTATAGCAACATTTGTAAACAGACTGCTGTGTGTTGGCATTACTGTTTTGATTTTACGAGGCATCTATACATACATCTCTCTTAAAAAGCAATTGCTGTTCTGGGCCACTGAAATATGCACAATCTCAAAATCAGTGATTCATAACTGTCATTCACTGTTCCATTCTCATATTATGAAGTACTTGTATCTGGGTACCTCCTATTTGATTAGGGGTCCTCAAAAATTTTGGTAGGTATAATGATTTTTTCCTTTGTTATCTTGATCACTTCCTACTAGAAATTCAGTGGACTGCTTATGGAATTCTGAGAAATATTCCTTGTTTTTTCTCCCTTAGAGTAGTTATTTTTACACAGCAGTCATCATCTTTCTATCCAGCTTGCACTGAACTCACTTTCAGATTTATTGTCTCTCATTTGAAATAATTATTATTGATGACAACAGTTTTTCAGATCCTCCAACTTTCTATGAGTAAGCCAGAACAGAAAAAACTTTCTGAAAGAGGCCTGGGTATCTAACCATGTAGGAATATCTTAATTCGGATTTCTGACATTCATCTGAATCCACAGATCTGAATCCACAAAACACAGTGTGTTCTTCTGTGTCATCAGTTCTCTCACGAGGTGCTGCTGCATGGGGAGACTAATGCTGAGCTTCAAACTTGCTTCCCCTCTGAAGCCAGGCACTCATAAGACACACAGTTCTGTGTCAGTGCTGCAGCATGTACAAATCTTTTCTGGCTCCTGGCCAAGTGACTCCCACATAGCATTAGCAGTAGCGTCACTAAGCCCTCATCTAACCCTCATATGCCCTTTTTTTTAATTCCATCCACAAATAAAAATAGAGTAACCAGGGAAAATTCATATGCATCATATCCACAGTAATGTCTGCAGTGCCATGTTCTCTTCTCAAAAGATAATACAGTAATGCATACTAATCTGCATCTTTTGGCACAAGCCTCACCATACTGTTTTTCCTCTCTTCAGCCCCTTTCTGCCCACCAAACCAGCTCAGCTGTTTTCTTACATTTTCATAGTTAAGACAAGTTGACATGCAGAAAAGTACTTTGTTACAGAACATATGAAGTGCTTTTCTTTGTGCATTCAAAAAGAAGCAATGGTAATTTTGAGGAGGAACACAAAAGGGTTATTAAAACATTAAGAAAACTCCAAACAATGCAACTTAAAAGAGTAGATGCTGCAGTGTTTTATATATGTGAAAATTCTAATAATGTACCAAAGTTATCTGTGTATTCCTTGTAAAACAATGAAATCAGAGAAAACAGGAGAAAAACTTTAAGTTGCCACATCATTTACTTTACTTGCATGACAAACCTTCTCTAAAATTTATCTGTCTTGCCTATCTAGATTGCAAACTAGTCTGGGCAGTGATTTTCTGCAACTTTGCATCTAGAAAAATACAGTATTTCTGTATTAAAGTAACACGAACAGCATTTTACACCTTACAGAGCATGCATTCTTACAGAGCGTGGCATCTGTAAAATATACACGATATAAATTTAATTATCAGTTTAGCTATAGATATAGTTTATAAATATGTATTTAATATACACAACTGGTGCATCTGTTTATAGATAAATAACTGCAGGGAAGATAGCCCTTTTGGAAAAGACCAGACATGGTAGGGAAATAACTGATTTACAACAACAAAAGAGATTAAACTTCTTTCCTTAACTTGTCCAAAGAACAAGTTATACAGATCTTATTTACCTTTTAACCTAAAAAGCTAGATATCTTAATCAGAAAATAACTTGGAAAAATTTCAAAGAAGTGAGAAAGCACAAGAGACAGTTTTATTCTAGAAAATATAAATTAGGCAACACTTGCAAGAAGTATGACGACGTCCAATAAAAATGAAATCCAGTAACACTGGAACCTTGCAAAATTAGGAGTGCTGTATATACAACATTATTCCCTGTTAGCTAAAACCTTCTGTTTTCATATCCCTTAAGTTGCAAACTACTGCAGCTTAAATCTGTCAAAAAAATTAGTATCCCCCCTTTCTGCAATGTAAATCAGCTCAGAGACAGTAATACGATACAAAAGTAAATGGGTTTTTTGTGCACTTATCTAACATTGAGACAATATAAGTGAACATTACATGAGCAATGCCATCACAAAGATTGCAGATGTATCATTTTATTTTACTCAGACACAGTAAAATATTTCAAATATACACCACAGCTCAAATATACACATATTTAAATGACTCAAGTGAACGACTGAGCTGAATTAAAAATATGTTGTACAACAGGAAAAACTAGTAGCAAACTTCCTATAAAGATAACTCTGAAATTTATGATAGAAAGATAAAATACTATTTATTGCTAACATTCCTGACAGTGTTCAAATGCTGACAGGGATGTAATGAAGCCTTTTCATGAATACTTGTCATTTAAAGAATCCAGAAACAATTATAGCAATCATTTCCCAGTTTAGACTCAAGGAGGTAGGTGCTTAATTCCCATTTTATTATTTTGGATTTGGGTACCCAAATTCTATTTAGATTTCTTTAGAAGTAACACCTTCATAGATTTTAAGGCTGAAAAACTTCATTATGGCCATTCAGGCCTGCCACACCTAAAAGACTACAGAAACTCATTTAGCAATTCCTGTATAAGAAGTTTATACATTTCTGTTTGAGGGAAAACAGCTTTTTTTCTTGGAAGCACAACTATCTATAGTATCTCTAAGAAGTCTAAATAAAGCAAATGGTCAATTATGTTTCAACAGCCATGAAAAAAATTCAATGTGTTGAAACTATAAAAGGGGGAAAAAACCTGTAATGTGGGAAAACACCCTACCCCCCAGTAAACTGGATTCTTGCAGTATTACTTGCTTCAGAAAGGTTCTCTCTAAGCTGACAAGATGTGTTCAGGTAAACCCATTCTAAAGTATCTTTTTTTGACTTTTGATAGTCATTAAAAATGCATTGCTTTTTTTACAGCTTAAGCTGAAAGAGAGATATAATTATAATATATATGATTTATTAAAACAGATTTTCTTTGGTTCATTTCATTAATTTAAATAATGAAAACTGTAAATATTAATATTAGGTACAGTTCAGTAAGTATACTTTAAATGAGTTGGAAGAGATCTATCATTTAAGAAGAGGAAAAACTACCTAAAAATAAGTTTATTCAGAAGTGCTTCATCTTAAAAGGGCTGAGGAATTTCAGCCTGGCTCGTGTCAGAACCTTACTGGGATCCAGAGGTAGTTCACCACCAGTTCACTAAAATCAATCCAACTAAATTCAATGAGGATCATGATCTAGTGTTATGTGTTAGGGCATGTATAGATGGGCCCATGATCTTTAAATATATTTGTGCTTTGGTTTCATGAAGGTCTGGTATTCCTGGTTCTCCTTGTAGCTACTACAGCACTTACTAAGAAAGTAAGGGACAAATGTGAGTCTTTGGATTATCATATCTTTTCCCTATTCTCCCACCAAGGCACCAGGTATAGGGATAGAGGGAAATGTTAACTCGAATTAACATTTAACTTCAGCACAGATGAAGCCAAAAGTCTACAAGTTCATTGACAAGTGCTCCAACTGTAATTCTCACCATTCCACATTTGAAGAAGCCTCTCAATTCCTCCTAAGAAAGAAAGGTTGTGCAGAGTCTGAGCAGCTGGGGCTTCCCAGAAGCTGTTCTCAGTGCTGCTGTTTTTGAGCTGTAAAGGGGCTGCAGTTCAGACACTCCAACCTGAAGGAGCTCTGAACCATGTACATGATTGCACTGGCCTGCACTGACAGCTACATCAGACTCCAGCTACATGGTAGAGAGTTTAGGTGTCTAAACCAAGGCTCTAAATTAAATTCTAAATGGCACACACAAAAGTTAGGTATAGCAGTACCTTATAGATACTCCAACTGTTATTTTTATCTCACCTGCCAAAGGCTGAAAATAATACTGCAGCTTTTAACGAGGGCAGCAGTCACCCTAAGTCCTACCTTCCAAAGTACAATAGAAACCACACCAGCATTAATAACAAGATATTCTTCAGTGCATATTCCAGCTCTGTGGTAAGATTTTAGGGTCAACTCGTACCACTGAGATGCATTTTTCCAGTGTTCATGATAATAAACTCCTTTTTTCCTAGATATTCTACAGAGTAACAATGCTTTCCATGTGCTTTTTTAGCATGCAAAACTCTAAAAAGAGAAGCCCACCATTCTAAGTATTAATAAAATGAATTAAAATTATATTAATTTCTCACACCCATTGTATTGAAATATTTCAGTTTCTCTTAATACCTTCCCATCTAACACTTTATTACAAACCAGCAGGTAACAACAGTTGCACATATATTGCCTGAACAAGCCAGTTTGCAGAGTAAGTCTTAAAGTTGCAGTTAAATACAGAAAGTTAATTTTTCTAAATGTTGTAATATCAAGCACACTGATATTCAGGGTAGATGAATCAGGATTATAGCCAGCGTGGGCTAAACATTGTTTTTATTTCAGTAGTTAAGTAGTTATTTTTTCTTTTCAAGATGCGCCATTATCTTAGCTATTCAATAGCAAAGGACTTACTTCAAGTGTCAATTGTGCACTATTTTTCTTTAGTGGGTATGACGTTAAACCTGAATTTCCTTAAAATTTAAAACATTTACTCAGTGTTACACAAAGGAAGAACAGATTTTCATTTTACATTTTATATCTATTTGTACAAGTGTAAATGACTGTGCAGAAGGGTTAAGGCAATTTACACAGAGTTTTTGTTTGTTTTAATCTCAAACTTAAAAACCAGCATTCTGACCACATTTTTTAATACTGAGGTCTTTATCAGTAATGTTTAGACTCATTAAGTCAATGACAAAAGTCTGCTTCCTTTGTGTACGACAACTTCCATGTTTTCTAATCTAGAGAAGCTGTGGCACTACAGCTCTAATTTTCCCAATGTAGAAAACATTTGTGTGCAAAACCCCTGATTTATTATTGACTTAGATGGATTACCAAGCTCTGCTTCCTTCTTTAGCCTTGAACAAAGGCTAAAGTTCGTGCCTTCACTGAGTAGCAGATGTTCATGAAGTTTGACCTACTGGGAGAGGAACGTGAACGTGAACTCTAACTTCAGCATATTTCACAGTTAGACACGTACTTGACAAAGCCACTTCCAAAACACCCCCCAAAAATAAAATGTTATTTCACAGGAGTCTAATACAAAGTGTCTTGTTCACTCTTTATTTACCCAAGATAGAAAAAACCCCGTGCATTTCTGGCCTTCTTATTTTTCTAATTCCTGTTTCAGTAAAATAGAATTTCTAACAGCTCTTCAGGGAACGTATCACTGGTTTGCTTGACAACAAAAAAGAATAGTGCATCGTTACGAGCATTTCAGATTTCCAATAAGCTAGATACAATGAAAGGCTGCTGCAAGATTAGCTCTTGCCATTCAACTCTGAAAAATGGCAACAGTCCCATCAGTGTTGAAGACTAGAGGCAAGTAATTCAATAACAGAATATAATAGTATAATTTTATACCAACATGTCAGATTTAAGCTAAGCTAGAGATAATTAGAAACTGTTATAAGCTTAGCACTTACCATTTAACATCAGAAGATTGTCAGTCCCTGGATGCGGATAACTCAAGCGACCTTAAAAGAAAACAAAAACCAAAGGACACAACAAATGCAGAGGTTTTTGCTATTATGCTAGAAAAGTAATGAAAAAAAATATCACTGCCTAGAATTTAAATCTAAACACTATTTCCAGTTTGCCTAAGGGAAATAAAGAGCTAATATTTAACTCCAAGCACATTAACCAACAATACCCTTGACCCAAGTTAAAGCTGACAAGAACAGACTTCTTAACCTTAATTCTCTGGTCATAAGATCTGCAGTGTGCTTTGGGATCAGCTCCAATAGGATAAAGCCACTTTTTGTTTCACGACACCCAGAAATAGTGCTGACTGCTTTAGTCTTCTCTTTCACAGTGACTGTGAATAACTGTACTATGCACATTCCTTAACAGAGTGGCATTTCTACACTTTAGTGCTTCTCTACTGAATCAATTTAAGAAAAATCATGTTAATAGCAATTAAGGCATTAAAATTTTACTAATTGTTTTATGACTGCATCTTAGTGTATTTTGTATAACCCTTGTATGTAGTATTTTTCAGTAAATCTAGCAAAACTAGAGTACTCCTCTATCTACTGAATCAAAAAATTTAGAATACGATAAATAACATTTCTAGTATTTTAAACTGAATAAATATTACATGAAAACCTTATATCTTGACATCAGAATTTTTCAACAACTGCATTTTACTACATTGGTGGCATGCTATACTTCAGTAATTAAATGAATGATTTAAAATGCACAGCAGAGATGTCTGTTCACTACAAATTCCTTTTTATTAAAGGAGACTTTCTGTTTACAAGAAGTAGCGAACATACCAGTAGTGCACACTGACCTAGAGAGACATTTACAATAGCTGCTGTGTTTGGAAGAAGCATGTTTTAATGTGCAAAAAACTACATTGCCATCTATCTCGCTATTCAAACATGCTTGCTTATAATCTGAAACATATATATAAAAATACTGTGACTTAAACACTTAAGTATTTTGGAGGCAATGAGAATGGTTGTGGAGGCATAAAGAAGAATCCAGTCAGGAAGCACTGGGTGTTTAGAACTCACACAGGTTTCAAAGGTAATATATATGCAGATGGTTTGCAAGAAAAAGAACCCAGAGTGGAAAGAAAAGAAAGAAAACCAAATTAGCAATGTGTATATTAAGGCTGTCTAGCAATTCCTATTGCACACTGTTTTTCCCCTACTGTTGGTAAACCCGTGAGCTTGGCAGCAAAACTAGAAATTTCTTGAAACAGTAGTTCAAAGTCCCCTTTGGGGTTAAATAAAAACCATTTTTTGTTGAAAATTTGTAAATAATAGAATTTAAGTTTTGCTATTCTCCTTTAAAAAACCAAAATGGTAATTTTTTGGTCAAAAATCAATTTGAAAAAATACACACTGTGAACTCTTAAAATTGAAAAATAATTAGACTAAGATGATTATGGAAATTTTGGTCAGCCTCATTATTTACAGGCATTGTGGCAAAAAACCCTTTATACAGCTATGTACTATTTCTCTTCCCAGATTTCATTACTGTAAGAATGGATGGTATCAGAACACTTGAAGATTAGGTACAAACTATTTGCTGTGGAATTTGGAAGTGCAGAGAAAGCACTGAAATGCTAGGGCACGCTCCTGGCAAAGGGCAGATGCATGCCACCCAAAAGTACTCTGCTGTCTTCTTTAACGTCTACAGAATCTTTGAGCAGGCTCAGGCAAGACAGTAAACAAAACTCTTTGTAGGAACCTCTGTTTTCACATTCCTTGTCTTCAAGATGTCCAGTTTTAATATACAAGCCATTTTCTTCTGTCATTCTGTACATTTACAGCTGTATCAAATGTTTCTTGGAACTATAAAAATTCTGCCCTTCTAGCAATGTATGTTGTTAAAATAGGAAAGAAGTGGGAACAAGGCATCCTTAAATTGCAATCTCAGAGCTGCCACTGATTTGCCCAGTCTGGTTTACAACAAGTCACTTTGCTACACTCCTTAGTTCTTTGGTCTGCACAGGCTCATACTCTTTTGTCTAACAGCAAGGATTTCTCAAGATCACTGTCACTGTCATGTTCATATACGGTGCTGTAGAAATACTTGCAACACTAAGAGCTCTTTCTTGCAAATCAGAATGCTGCATCAAAAATAGCAAAAGAAATTGTGAGACATTATCTTAAATCTTCTTTAGTCCGTAGTGACAGTCTCCTGACTGTACACAATAATCTTCTTTTCCTATACAGCAAGAGATACAATATAATTTTTTTTCTTCCATAATTAATACATAAAGGGAGGTCGGATTTAAGGTCTAGCAGGAGAGAGAAGCCACTAATGTCAATACTTGGAGAGGAAAACTATTAAAAATATAGAAAAATCTAGGTTTACAACTCTGGCTTTGCATTCTGTATTCCTTCCTCCCCCCCATCCTTATAGCTTCACAAACAAACTGCATCTGAAACATAGATGCCAAGCTGAAATAACGAAGCACTTCTCTGTAAGCGGCAGGGAGAGAGTGCACCAGGGAGCTGGGCCTACCACTGCAGCATAAAACCCATTCTCGCTGTGAGGGAGATGAATTGCTAACTCAGATAATGAATGACTGGAAGGCTAGAAAGGAAAATGAGTAATTCAGTATTCAGTATCTTTACTGCTGTACTGACACATCTAAGTCGTATTTATGTGGTTATTTCAATGAAATCACACTTTATATTATTGCATTCTGATGAACTTAACATCTGGTCTAGTACTTGAACTTAGAACTTTAAAGACATTTTTAACACAGAATGTTTTCTTACTTTTGCAAAGTACAATTACTGCTGTTTGGTAAGTTGATTTAGGTTCTTATCCCTCAGATTAATCTGCTGAAGCAAAACGCAGTGTTTTCTAGCGTCCATCTGAATTTCAAGATGTAGATAAATCAGAACACTTCACGCATGCCACTGTGTTCAAGGTCAGTTTTATACAGAGCTCAATCATGCTATTTTTTAACAGATTATTCTAGTTAAATGGACATTTACTATATTAAATATCACTTAAAATATCAGTACATGAAATACAGAAGATGGAAGCACCATCTTACAACAATTTGCTTTACTTCTATCACATGCATCTTTCTAGCTGGCTATTTTCATTGTATATTTTTTTGTTGCATTGAAAAAAAGATACCATTTTAAGAACAAGGCACAAATCCTATCTAATCCCATTGTACTTCAATGTCAATAATCTACAATCATAAAAACCATTCAATGATATTCCAGAAGTTTCAGAGGTCTCCACTTGCTTTAAAAAAGTTTTAATAATGAAGACAATTTGCTAGTTTAAAATTAACTATGAATTAGAGAATATCTAATATTTAAAGAATTATTCAACTTATTCCATTTCTGAGAAATGAAAAGTAATCAATTCACTATCTATCTAGAGAATCTGTATACAGCATCCAAAATTTGTAATGTGCTATCTAAAACAAATAGAATGTCTAATATTACTATTCTGTACCATAAAGATCATCACGTTACTAAAATTTTCTTTATGCAAACCTCAACTTGCAACTTCATCATGTTACTGCTAATTAGTAATTCTCATATATCATGTCTGAATTCAAAGTAGTATTGGTAAGGAGAAGAAGATAAGTTTAACATTCCTCTGCAACTAGAGTTCTATTAAATTTAGTACCCACTTCCTTATCTAAATGTAATTAATGTTAACAGAACTGCCTGGTGTGTATTTCTCACAATGCATTCTTCTGTAAGGACAGGACAAAATAAGATGCTTGCAAATAAATTTTGGTGGGCCAGTTTATCCACTAAATCCAATTAAAAGTCTTGCTAATCCAAACCATGAGGAAAGAGTAACAAACTTAGTTTTAGCTACATTTCTGTAATCTCATTTTACTAATACAGGCAATGGAAATTTAAATTTTTGTAAACTTCTCAGCATACAGATGTAGTTGCGCTTACTCAATGTCCATTTTAAGGCAAATTCACATATTTTAGAAATGCATATTTTCTACTCCTATTTACCTAAATTGCTGGAGGAATCCCCTATATATTAAAATAACTGGGACAGATTTAAGTAGGATGACTGCATTGAACATTGCTGACTCACAGATTCATAAGTGCCATGTCTACTCCCTTCCTTTTTTTAAAAAAAAAGTCTTAACTGATTGTATGCAGAGACTGGGAATCACAAATTCCTTTCCTGATTTCCTTTTTTTCTTTCTAGAGATCCCCTGACTAGAAGAGAGAAAGCTTCCAAATGAAGCTTTTCCCAGTAACAGTGAACGGCTGAGGATCACAGCAGTTTCAGAGAGCACAGTTTTTGGAATCAGCGTAGTTAAGACAACAGCACAAAGCCGTGTTTGGACAACACCTAGTTACAGAAAGTCTAGCTGCTACATTTTCCAATGACTGTGTATGAATTATGCAAGTCATAATGAGGTCAAATGGCTTGTCTTTGATAGTCCATCTATTTAGACAATTCAGTCTGTCACTCTTAAATATATCCTTTTATAAGTAAAGGTTTCTATGGCAGAAAGAGAAAACAATCTCTATGTACAATTTCAAAGCCTTTTAAATGACTAAGAATGAGTTTTTTCCTCCATGTTTTTTTTTTATCCTCAGAAACCCTTTTCCGAGCACTGTTTGAATTAGCCTAGGAATAAACTGCACAGCTTTAAACCTTAGAGCTCCATAAGGTAAAATATAAAACAAATGTCTTTGAAAACAATGGTTTCCATATGCAAAAAAAGAGAATGCCCTCTACTGTGTTGCTGAGTCACCAATGCTTTTTTTTTTTTTTTTACTTCAGTGAGCACGCACCAGCAGGTTGCTTTTGTAAGAAAGATGTCTAACAGCTGAAAAACTCAACTAAAAACAAGTTTAAAGGGAAAATAAACACAGGAAAGCGCGAGACAGACTTCTAAGTGCAGCAAATTATTTTTTTCCTCACAGATATGCGAAAGAATACCGCTCTACTTTATCAACAGCTATACAAAACATACGTTTGTGTAACTCTGCTAAAACTTTTTTTTGCCCTTCATGAAGAAACAAAAAAAAAATTCAACAAAAATAATATTCCTTCTTGGTACTCCTGCTAGTATAGCTATGGCTAATTTAAATTCAGTATTATCTTACATCTAGCTTGCAGAAATGTAAGAATCACAGAATACTCTGAACTGGAAGGGACCCACAAGGATCAACTCCCAATTCATAAGTGAACGGTCCATACAGGACTGAAGCCACAACCTTGGCGTACTTAGCACCATGCTCTGACCAACTGAACTAATCCCAGGGTCAGTCGGTCAAGACACAGAAATTAACTGTAAATTAAGTACAGTATGGATACTCTTGCATTCCAAATGACAAGCCTTTAAATTACACTGAAAATAGTCTTTACTAGAAAGATGTTTAAAACAGTAAGTAAAAAATTCCACTAAATCAACTGTTAGATATTGCATACAAAATATAGCCACCATCTGTTTTAGCCCAAATGCATTGACTTTCTTGACATCAAGATGCACTGATATTTGGGGGAGGAGAAGGGGGAAAAATGCAAGTGCACAAGTGGTATGTCTGAAGAGTTATACTAGCAATATTGTATTTCAGGCTATCAGTACTCAAAATTGTTTTAAGGACTATTAGAAGAATAAAAAGGGTATTTAAGAACAACACTATAAAAATGAATTAACTTCAGTTTATATTCCATTGGAATGGAATGGATGGGATAATCATAAGCATTACTTAAGGTCTTGTTATAGAAATGGGTTTCAAGAAAGCTGCATGGGAAAGATTAGTTTTAATATGATCAGTATTTCTGCTGCAATGATTAGTTAAGGCAAACATCTACTCCCTATTACCCTACCTTGAAAATATCTTACTGAAAGTGAAAAATTACTTTTCTTTTGATCATGTCTGTTGTAGTGACTAAACTTTGTCTAAGTGAAGCCAAAACTATGCATCTATAATTTTTTGGCAGGCATAAACTTAGTTTTCAGTGAATCATATTTGAGATAAAGTTTTTTCAAGTTCATGAAAGCAAAAGGGATGAAATTTGACTTCCTTCTAAAATAGATCTTGACATGCAAAACTGTAGCTAGTACACAGGGTGTCTGTTCTGCATTGTGCAAAATCTGAGACAAGATGCTTAGTCATACTCCAGATATTGTAAGCAGCTAAATCTGAAACACGTGCTTAAAATTCCAGGGACTTTCACTTTACTTCTGTGATCAGATATAAAAGATGCATTATTTTACACATTTGCTTTGATTTACTTGAAAACTTCTCATAAAAATATTCTCTACTTACAAAATACTCTCCAGTGACAACAAAGTATGTTATATATTAATAAAAACAACAAATAAATAATAATATTCTTAATCCCGTGCATTATGGAAGCAAATATGCTGGGTTCTTCAGTAAATGTTAGATTTTCTGTGGTGAAAAGAAAAACCACAGAGACTGATACAACCAAATTAGTGTTTTATGGTTGACAGAAAAAAAAAAAAGTTAAAAATTGCTCAGAAATTACAGAAATGCACACTAATGGTGACTAAACAGAGGGTGGAGAAGAACTAAAAGGCTGTTCTAGCATGAGATCGCTTCTTCCCATTTTCAGTCCATAAGGAATATTTCTCATGCCTTACTGTTAATAACATAGCTGTTTCAGCTGAAATTACTTCCACAGAGAAAAAATATCATATTCAATCAATTTAAATAACAGCACACAATTACTCTATTTAAATTCAGTTGGCGTGTGCATTGTTCTCTGGCACTCAAACAGAAAAATGGGTTTCCTTTGAATTCATCACTATCTATGGCTTCCATCTGTTCTAGCTGAAACATAAAACTTAGTAGAATTTTCACTGCAAGAGGATGATGGTGAAACTGGTAAAAAAACCAAACCTCTTAACTGTAGACTGACATCATATACTCATGTCCCTAGAAAGCACAGACGGAAACTACAGCTTCTCAAAGTGCCTGTGTATGAACCAAATTCTCTTTAAAATCTTAAAGCTTTGTCTTATCTTACTCTCTACAGAAAATTATTTTTGGAATTACATAATTTTCATCCATTGTATCATAATGAAATATGAAGAGACGAATAAAAATAGAAGCTGTTTTTTTTTCTGTGCTCACTGTGCCTCTGAAAGCCCTTCAGCATTATAAAGCCAAAATGAAAACAGCAAGATGGGAGGGGAACAGAGTCACTATTTCCATGTCATGTCAGCAGGCACAGAAAGAAGAAATAACAGACTGGTTTTCAGGACTGCGAGAGGTGCCAATGACAGTTCACTGTGATAGAAGATCTGCATTCTTTAACTTTATTCCTAACAGCAGCTTTCAGACAACCAAAGAAATATAAGTCACCACCTGAGTGTGGCAAATAGAAGCAACAATGCTTTGGAACAGGAATAGTACACGTAGCCACCTCATCTTCGATGAGATACACATGCTTTTAGTTCAGAGCAATTACCACCGGGTCAGCTGTTCAGCTGTTTTAAATCCTTTGTGATAATAATGTTTTGCAAACATGTAGAACAGACAGAAACTGAATTTAATAATGGACTTAAATGACAAATTTGCTAAAACTGCAATTAATTCTCTGTAGGCAGTAAAAAACAGGACATCAGATTTCAGCTTCCACTTTAGGTTTGAGGAAAATTACCTGCCCAGGTAAATGCTACATACTTACAGATGCTTTGTAGAGATTTTCAGCTTGGGAAAAAACCCTAAACTTTTGGCTTTATAAATATTTAGATACTATTACATGCTATCTGAATGCTACAGGTCTTAAAATTGATTACACAGATCTTAATAGAACCATGAGCAGATTCTGGCAAGGTGTCCTTCAAATTAGTGAACCTTATGTACTAATGCAATATACATCAAGTCTAGAAGCCTCTAGTGAACAGAGAACGGATGGGAAATGCAAAAACCAAACAAATAATTTTTGATTGTTTTATTTTTTCAATTGCTTCAATATGGACATTTAATTTCTACAAAGCAAGACTGAAGTCCTGGATAATTCTGAAGTTAGACTGTGTTAAGTCTAATTAGAACACCACAAATGAAGTAACGTTTGATCAGGCCCGACATTCAACAGTAAACACCACCTGAGAAAGTGGGGAAAAACAGAATTCACCAGAGTGAGTAAATGTACAGGGAACATAGGAGTTAAAACTGAAGCCCACATATGCTAGCTGCTTGCTTACTGCTGTGGTCAAGTGACTTAACAGAGCCCAAAGCAATAGGAAGGACCAGCATTCTAAAGCCAAGTGTATTGTTAAGAGTTCAGATTGTATGCATTATACTCCAGAAGCTTTGGAAAAAAATATTTGAAAGGACAAAACCTGATTTTATCAATGGACCTAATTTTCTTTCCAGATTCCACTGCAGAGAAATGGAAAATTAACTGGCTAACACTGGTAGTGGTTTGATTCCCCTCCCATGCTTTTTTGGCTACCTCTAACAGAATAGTGTGTCTTCACAAACTGAGGTAGAATTTTCTACAGTAATCAAGAAAATTTCAAATAAAACAGACTAGAAATTTCTTGGGGAAAGGAGGGAAGGAAGGAGTGGGAAAGGAGAAAAAGCTATAAGAACACTAAAATTTGTTTTAAATAACTGTAAACCAATGTTTTCATTAAAATACAGCATAAGATTGGCTTTTCATGTGTGAGAAAATAATTAATTTGCTATTTTAATATGAATACATTCTAAATTAGTAATCAATATTAATTCAAATATGCAGAATGGATGACCCTTTTTTCCTTATTTAGCATAATAACATACCTTTAAGTGGATCATGCTCTGCTCTCATAATGTCGATAAGGGAGTTTTCCAAAGAGTGCATATTGAGACTGTCATACATTCTATTTCGATCCTAAAAAAAAACCAACACAAAAACAACCAACAAAATCATTAGTATTGGAATACAAATTCTATAGTTTTTAACAAGAAACTTGAAAGGAAAACAAAGGTTCCTTCCAAAGGCTCAGACCCCCTGGATATGGACAGTGACACCAAGTAAGATCTGATATTATTAACAGTGAGTTTAACAGCATCCAAGTATAAAACTAGAGATGCAGCATGAAGACCTCTGCTGCGTGTGCACTCTGACAGCCTGTGACTGCCTGTTTCCTTCCAACTGCTTGGATCAGTTCTAGCGATGCACAGCAGAGTTATGCATTAGGCTGATTAATGAAGGAGACTAATGTCATTAAGAGCTCCATTTCATTTCATGCACATGTTAAATAGTGAGTAAGGTAGGGAACTTCAGGACAAGAAGGACAGTCACCTCTCATAAAAGAAAGCACTTTCCTGGTGCTTGGTTAAGTGCCTGGCATGGGCCCACAGCCCCTGCTGAGACTGCACTTCAGGGTGATTTAGCACTTTGCATACAAAGACTTGAGTTACAAATGGTCAGCACTAAAGGGTTAAAAGATGGAAAATTAAAACTAAACTACGAAAAAGAAATATTACAAAGTCTACTAACATATATTCAGTCTTATAGGGGACAATTTTCTTTGCACATAAAGTTACCATACTGTTTTACAAATATTTTCACTGCAGGTAATAAAATTTACTGTAATGAACCATAAATGTTTTCCACCATTTTGTTTACCTATGACATATTCTCCCATATTTTCCAATAAGCAGAAACAGAAGAAAGATGACTAAGTCTTTTAGTCTTTCTAAGATATCTTCAGAAACTGAAAATACTTTGTGTAAAACCATAATCTCTTCTACTTGCAAAGCTTCTAGCTAGATTGTATGTACTAAAGACCTTAAGGACTATAATCATGCCTTAGTTTTACTCTTGTCTTCTGTCTGCACCACAGTAATTCCACAGAGTAGTATGAATTACACCACACACATCCCATGACTGTTAAAACTCCCTAAAGATGCACCCATCCACTTAGTATGTATATAATGGATACAGAAGGTATCTGATCCACATTCACTGACTTTCCATGACAGTTCAGCAGAACATAAACTAATTTCCAACTATGTTCTCAGAAAGCAGGTTTTCTTCACACTGGAGGAGTAAAAACGCAAGCTCTGAAACAGAGGTCTTCTATAAGTCAGAAACTGATCAGTTTTGCAAGACAAGCCATGATGAAATTTAGATTTTACTTTCATCTTTCTTAGAGAGTTCAATGCTGGCATGAAGAGGGAGAAGCCTTTTTTCCCATCTCTCTCTCCCTCAAACAACTATAAAGAGTAATGGCTTCCTACTGGGTAAGCAATCTGTTACATTCATTTGATCAGATCCTTATTTTCTTTCTGGAAGCCCTTAGACAATTTTAACAATAAATTTAAAAAGTAGCTTTCTGTTGTCTCCTGCCACATCCCAGATCAAATGCCAGTGACGCTTTGTTAGGTGATCTTCAAATTGTTTTGAATGTCAACCAGTCACCCAGCACAATTTTAGTTCATGACAGCCCCTACTTTGGGACTGGTTGGCTTTCATTCAGTTCTCTAGCTGTCCTGAGAAGCATTAGAATGAAACTGAAGTGACTAATCTGCTTCCATGCCCTTACACGTTTGTTTCTCGATAATGAAAAGAACCTGCTTATCACTGCAAACCTGCTTTCTATAGAAGGTGTGAGCAGTGGCAGAGTTGGATCTCTTCCCTACTGTCCCCTAACATTCAACAGGTATCTCATCAGGATTTTCAACCAAGTCTTACATTTACCTTAAGGCAGTACTTGGTAGGTAGTATGTGCTCTTGCAAAACACAATGCTGAGTAAACAGAATACATGCTTTGCTGCCTCTGTACCTGAGACGTGGAAAGAACTAGTACTGATAAAAACTGGACTGAGCTGTATGTGAGACATTTCGTCTTTGTTACAGGCTCACTACAAATTTTTTTTTTTTTTAGTAATTGTTACACACATATATGTTGAGATAACATATGACCATCTGGAAAACGTATGAGATAACGTATGATTATCAGTATTACAGACTTAAAAATGCTCTGGAGAGCAGAAGTATGTAAGAAAAAGTTCCACCATGGTTAGTTCCTAAAACTGGCCCACTTGGTCCTAGATCTCACAGAGGAATGGAAAAATAAAACATAGAACATGTGTTTGCAATTAATTTGTAAACTGCTCCACTGGGTGACACAGTGAAATGAGTCTCTATTTTGCAAGTTCTGTCTATCTCAAGTGAAAGGTCTTGCGCTGCTAGAAGCAGAGAAATAACAAACTTTTCCCATCCTCCTTATACCTTAGAAAGTTCATGTCTACAAAGCTAAAAAAAAAAAAAGAGGTCTGTTTCCTTGAATTGTATTGCATATTTTCTGGCACTGGAAACATACAATAGGTAGGCACCTCACACTATATAAATGTCGGGAATACACTAAAGCAGGATTTAAGTACAGGAATTGCATTCTGCTATCCCACTACTCACATATCACACTATTCACTTTTGAGTTTTGGTAATATCTTGGCAATCAGTGCTTCAAAATTTGCATCTCTATATCAATTCAGACTACATGCTATAAATCAAAATTATCTGAAATTTAACTATCTCAAAAGCAGTAAGTCATTCTCTGGGTACAAGGGTCATTTTAAATCTTTGTGCAACTAGGCTTTATAATCCTAAAACTGCTTTGAGCTCTCCAAATATGTACATCATACTTTAAAGAGAACAGTTATCATCTATGCAAATATGGAACTTTCATTTCAAAGCAGAACTTAAAAGTATTTCAGTAATGTAGGTCACACATCAGCAAATATTTTCTAGAAAGCTCTGTTGAAAGGGGATGATTCTTCTCCAGCATGCTCTACTACATCAGAAAACTTCCATTATGATTTTGGTCAATTCTTGGGACCAGCACAAAAAGTACCACCTCTGAACATGATTGTTCTACATAGTTCTCAATGCATGTGGAAACAGTCCCAAGAATTAAGACTACCTTTAATGCCATTATTTCAACACAGCTGATAAGTAGTTATCTTCTAAAACAATCTGGGACTATCTTTAAAACAACATGGAAATACTTCTAATTCTTGGGACTTTTTCCTTGTTGTTTCAAAAGTAGCTCCAGGTTGTTTCAGAAGATAACTGATTCTCAGCCGTGTTGAAATAATGAAACTAAAGAGAACCAGTGGTACAAATGCATCGATATACGAGTGTGTATGTTAATACATGCTTTCTATAATCCTGACTCCAAAAGCACCTCTTGTGAAGGCTGAATTCCTGTAAAATATTTTGCACTTCCCTCAGCTCTAGGTCGTCAGTTCTGAGCTAAGAAGCAAGTGACTCTTGCTGTGAGATACAGAAGGTCTGTATCTTAGTGGAATGTCACAACATAATGTCAGCTTTTTTTCCCCCCAGAGCTCACAGCTAACTTCCCCCAAGCACTAAAAATACTCAGACTAGCTTTTTACTTCCTCTTAACTGTATAAGCATTTAAATCCCACTTGAGCCACCTTTCCAATACCAGAATCACAACTGCGTTTATACACAGCAGAATTGAAAATGTGGGTTTGGTGTAACTGCCTAGAGATCCAGAGCTATGTGGCTAAGTGACAAGTTGTCAGCTCCACTTAAGACTGTGTAAGAAAATTTACAGAAAAGTGATAAGTATTTTCTGTATTTTTACGAATTTAAACAATATAGGAGAAGTACAAAGTATCCTTCCCACAGAGGAGTGTTAGAAGGACGTTTTGACAATGTCATGTCAAACACAGCTAGTGAGTGCACATTTCAGAAGACCCCAAGCCATGCATCTGATGCAGGGATGGGAAGAGGGCAGCTTTCTCTGAAGAACAAGTTTCAATGCTAAACTGCTGTACAAATTAATTTTCTTGGCAGACTATTTAGGACTTCTAAATATACCCATGCAATTTATGCCAAGATTATCCTCTTTGAGCATTTGCAGAAAACTCAATGCAGTCACATCTCAAAGCTTATATACTATCATTATACATAAAGTAAATGCAATAACAGAAGCTATTTTGATGGACCGTTTTGCTACTCTTTAATTATAAGCATTAAAAATAGATGCTTATAGTTAATAAGTTTGACAACTTTTAATTTTGGACACATGTTTTAAACTACTGTTCTGTAGAACTAGTTCAAGTAAAGAATTAGACTTCTAACACAGGTATTAAAATAAGTAAGTGGCAGTATCTTTTGAGATATGACCATTTAGCTGTCCCTTCATATTCTACAGAATTATAGCATGAAATGGGGGCTGAAGACAAAAGTCATAAAGCTTGTAGTCAGGTTCAAATATGGTCTTAGTCAGCTGTGAAAAAGACTCTGTAGCTTTGACCTTGATGAATTAACTGAGTTTGTTGGAAGGTAAATTAAAGAAAAATGAAATTAGAACTGACTCCTGAATAAAAATGTGTTCTAAGACTAGACAGCAACAACTGATTTTGTAATAGAGTATCCAGACTTTAAAAAGTACTTCAATATAGTATTCAGTATTAACCTTCCCAGTAATAACCTAACAATTAAGTACATTACATATTCTAAACTACCCGCTAACATCTGAACCTCAAGTCATTCTCATTTTAGTGAGGACATACTATCTCCTTGTTGAAACCATAACTAGAGTAAATGAGAAACTTAATATGAAAACCTATGACAATTACAATGTTAGCTCTATAAAAAAAGCAAGAAGGAAGGCTTAAAGTAGACACAAGAAATTGTTTGGTTACTTTTCACGGTGTCATTAGTGGTAAAGCTGAACTAAAGACGTCTGGTAGACATCTCTGAACAGTCAACCTGACAACAAAGTGTTTTGAAGTTAAAATGACACAATCAGATATGTAAACTCACTACACTGAGCCTAAAATGCACCAAGAACAGGACCTGTGGCAAAGACACACCTACTTCCCAACTACATAAGCATTTAAAAACAA